GACAGTAAGTCCCAGCAAAGCTACTGTCAGTCCTCACCCTCCCACACACACCTCTATAAGAAAGTTTATCACAAATTCCAATGCATGTCCAAAATATGACTAGCATCACCACCGAGAAAAGATCTTGCAACTTGCATGTTATTAATGAAGAGTCTTGGAGGAAAGTCATGAGAATGTTCCTCATAAAATAGGAGACAGGCATATAACTTTTTAGTTAGAAAACAGACAGCATATATATTCCTAAAACAGTCCGACCAATATATAGTGACATTCTCAGTATATCGTGCCCCATGTTTCTCAAAGATAATGTTTACAAAACATTGATATCAGTGAACTTCAAATCTGCCCAGGGAACTTCTTTGGGTGAGGTTGTCAAGTAGACAACGCCCTCACCATCTGAGAAGCGAGTTTGCTTCAAAGTGATGCATTCAGACACAATGTCCACACTGTATCATTTCAAAAAGCTAAGCGGTCTCAGACCCCTGTCATCTTTCACATTGCAGCATTAAGAGAACAAACAAGGTCTGAGGTTACACATTCACAAATATTTGCTTTATTGTCTAGGTCTATGGCAACAGCTATCCTTCAAAATATTCTAATCTTTACATAGAGGAAGAAAGGAAGAGTAATATACCTTAAGAAGAAACCATTAGTGAAGGGTTGCATTTCGCCAAAACCCCTTACTCCCTTCATAAAATATTTTTACAACCAAAGGTGAAAGGCTGTACCACTATATGAATGAAGCATTATTAGCCAACCCAAAATCTGACAAATTTTTATCAGGAATATTTGAGGGGGGGGGCCAAAACAAGAAAAACATGTAAGAAAACTTCAAGTTTTGACCAGCTATATTAGATACTTACTGGAAAGAAAACAAGAAGAGAGATAAGTAAGAAAATGAAGATGGAGAGAAAAAAAAAGACAAAATAAGAGCAAACAGGGAGAAATAAGAGTATGGTTTTTTCCATCAGGCTAGTGGAGATGGCAACATCATTTAGATCTCTCTGGACAGTTCTAGTCAAGGGTCTGCTTTAGCCTCTCAAAACAAGAAAGGTCACAGATTATGCAACTTTTACCAATGCCACCATCAGTGAAGGTGGACCTAATACTGATTCAACTCTGGGCACAGCACCTTTTCTACCCTTTTCTAGCCAAATTTAGCATTACAAAATTCTGTACTTACTAATCCAGGTTCAATAACCTGACACCACTAGTAACTGATTAACAACTGTTCTGTTTGAGATATTCCAAACACGAAAGGCTTGCAAGGGGCAACCAGAATAATTCAGATTTTTATTTTACTAAGGAAGCATCGGTGCACAACAGCACATACAGAGCATACATATAATCCAACCTTTACCATAAATGCATACGTCTCCTCTTTTGCATTTGTTTACCTACCCCACATTTCTTGTTACTCTGTGTGTGTTTCTTTTTTAAAAGAAGGTATCAAGAACATTTAAATTACAAAGCTTTGGCCATTGTTAGCCCAACTCTGTTACTCCATCACAAAAAATCTCCCAATCTGACATCTAGCATTGCAGCCCTTTTTATATCTATTTTACCCTAAGGGTAACCTCATGACAACATAACACTGAACCTCTACTATTTGCTCATGTGACTGCACTACATATCAAAGGTAGGAGACAGAAGACCTAGGTTTGGAACCTAAGTGAGCAGTATCTTTAATTTGAACACTTTATTAAACACTGGGGCTGAGTAGGACAGTTCCACAGTTGCACTCTTTTCACAAATTGCAAAACTTCTTAAAACAATAACACACAAATATTGGAACGCAATTTTCTACCCACAAACCAGTGAGACTTCCTATTCACATGAGACACAACCCTCTAGTTTACAAGTTTCACAGTTTTGCAATCTGTCATTTTGATATTTTCTACTGTTTCAGTAAAGAAGTTTAACTCTACAACTTTCTGTATAGCAACTCAAAAATAAATATGAATGACATTTGCAAATCCATAGATGCTGTATACACTAAAGTACTTTTCCTGATTTCGGGAAGACAGTTAATTCACGTTGAGAAAAATGTCCTAATTATGGACTCTATTCTTATCATTGACTCTTAATTAAGAGACCTTGACAGTTTGGATATAAGAGAAGTTAACAAGCAATATTTGTAAAAAAGCCCAAGATGCTACATTCTACATAATTTTGCATTTGAACACAGTAAGTTACTTTGGGTAAACAATAAACAAAATTTCTATTTCTCTAGTCCCTTGTAGTGGTCTTAATTTGTCACAAGTGAAAAAAGTATACATTTGTTTCTAGATGGAAACTAGCAATACACACATAAACACAGAGGTCTACCAACCACAAAGAAATACAGTAACTTATCCAAAACAAAACTGAATGCAGTGAAGCTAAGCTAAATGGCAAACTTTACTCACTCTGTATTAATATACTCTGGAGCCATGTGCATCAGTCTCTACAACAGACAAGACTAACAATGTGCCCAAATAATTTTTATATGTCCTCATTTAAAAATAAACACAGAAATTTACTCCAAATTAATTAAACAGAGTTGCTTCTAATTAAATTTAAATTCCATCTGCATTTGACCATAAAGTGCAGTAACAATTATTTTCTAAACTGTGCATACCAGGTCCAACAGGAACATAAATCTGTATTCCTGTGCTGGTAAGACCACAAGTATATACTGCTAAGAAAACAAACATATGGCTATGATCTTAATTTGAAAAGCTAAAAGATTCATGTTATTTATCTTATTTCTGATCAGTAAGCTATTCTAAATGATAAAATAAAAAAAAGTTTGGATACCTAATCTTTCCATTTCCACACCTATTCCTCCAGACACCAGCCAAGAAGCAATTATTAGTTCATTTCTATGAGAAAAATTCAGAAGAGTGAATTTTTTAGTTTGCTGTCTTTCCACAGCTGAAAAAGCACAAACAGCTAGGGGTTCCAAACCCTCCAAAGTGCAAATGTTCTCTTTCGGGGTTAAAGGAAATTCTAGAGCGAAAAATAATTAAGGTTAGTCCAATGTATGCTATTAAAGTAACACATTTATATAAAATTTTATTTCATGTCTAAAAACATACACAAAAAGGGGGCTAGGAAAACTGTTAGAAACCAAGGTGAGCCCTTTCAAAATGGCAAAATAATTCTTTGCAAAAATGTTCACTCTGGAATTCAAAACAATTACATGAAGGGGAAAAGAGCTGAAACTGTTCTGTTTGGTTATGACTTTTGGTTTTCCTTTAAAAACAAAAAATTAAAATCAGGCCACAAGCTCTTCTCAATGGAATTGCAAATTATGATACAAAGTTGAAAGAGTTTAACAGTGATCAAACAGGACTTATAGTACAAAGTAAAAACCAATATATTCTGAAAGATTATCTGAATCTGTTGCAAGACTTAATCGTTATTTAAATTATTATAACACTATATGTATCTGGTATTGCATTCTGAGAACAATTACATATGAAAATTATTACAACTCACTGATCAAAAGAAAATAACAATCCAAGTTACAGAACATCAAGTTGTACAAAACATGCAAAGAGCATTCTGTCAGCAGGTACCCCATTCTCACTTTAACTTTTACAGCAGTAGGTAGTGGCAGGCATGTCCTAGCCTTCAGGAACAAAGGGAACACCTCCCCCCCGCCCCGTCTGACTTTTGCATCTGGTCCAATCCACTCTGTCCTTATTAAAGATCTGACTGCCTGGAATTTGAAAGCAACGCTAAGGATTTCCACTTGTATCATACCCTGCTTTTCTAGCAGTTTACTGTCAAAATCATCCTGCGGCCAAGCGCTTCCAGGGAAGGGAAAGAGGGAAGGGCACCATCCCTCCGGCACTCCTCGCCCTCCCGGCGGCGGGATCAGCACCCGGCATGGGAACAGCGCCGGGGCTTCCCGCGGGCACGGGCGGTTCCGAACGTGCCGCTCGGGTTAAACACTGCCAGCGGTAACAAATAACCCTCGGGTTAAATCCAGGCCTCCTCTCCCATGAACGTACCCCCTTTTCAGTCCGAACATTCTCCGACTCCTAAGCAAGCTCACAACGCCGCTGTCCATGAACAGTCATGTCTTCCCAGGCTCCCGGTGAAACCTTCCCAGCTTGACGCCCAAAAATCTCGCTAAAATCTCTCGCGCCTTCCTCGCACAGGAACGCTATTTACGCCCTGATACTCCGGAACCCCCCGGGGCTCCGCTTCTGAGCGCAACGCGCGCCCCCCGGAGCGCCGAGCGCTGCGAGGCACCGACATACCGCAAAGGCCCCCCAAAGAGACCCCCGGCCTGCAACACACGTACTGGCTGCGGGAGCCCCTCTGTGCAGCCATCGCAGGTCATGTGCCAGGGGTTTATTAAAGGATCATCCGTGCGCTATGAGCAGCAGCATCATAAATGCCCTCCTCCCCCTCCCAACAGAGCGCACACAGGCATCCCCCTCGCCCAAAGCAAAGGCCAGAGAGGGGGAGGGGAAGGAGCCATCCCAAAAGACCTGTCGTGCGGAGCGTGCCGCGCTCCGGTATTCCCGCGGCCGGGAGCTCAGGCCGCCTCCCGCCCGGAGAAGGCAGGCCCGGCACCTGCCCGGCCGCAGCGGCGCCGGCAAGGCTCCCTTCTCCACCGCTTTCGCACTCACGTTCTCCGCCGCGTTCGGAGCAGCACTGCCGGCGTCCGGCCCCTCCGGCACTCGCCACCAGCGCGCCCCGTCCCCTCGGCGCGGTTACCCCGGGGCAGTCCGGGGCTGCGGGCCCGCCCGCCTGCGCAGCGCTGCCCAGCACGCCCGGCCCCGCGCTCACGCTGCCGCTCGGCCGGACGCCGCCCCCACGCCCGACCCCGGCCCGCCTCGGTACCGCGCGCCCACGCGCGGAGCGCGCTCCTGCGCGGCGGCGGCGGCGCGGCCGCCACCGGAGAAGAAAGCGGCCGAAGGGCACCCCGCAGGGCGGCCCCGCGGCGCGCACCGACCCGGACCGCCCCCTTGTGCCCCCGGCGCCGCGGGCGCGGGCCGTACCTGTGAGGACGCCGACGCGATCTGGTGGTTCGTGGTGTGAGGATTGATGCCTCGGACGCCATGTTCGCGGCGCAGCTCCGCACTGCGGGGGGGAACGGCGCGGGCGGCAGAGGGGGCGGGGCGGGGCGGGGCGGGGGCGGGCCAGCGGGTACAACGGCGCGGGCGAGGGGAGCGCGAGATCCGCGCGCGGCACCCGGCGCAGGCAGCACCAATCCAGTGCCGAGAGCGCCGGCCCCCAGAACCGCCGTCTGGTTACGCGGAGCTGAGAATTAAATTCCTCAGACCTCAGATAGTGGGAAAAGATCGGCAGCAAGGATGGTCATCATCCCGGCTTTTGGCTAGCATGAAATCACAGAATCGCGGAATCAGTTAGGCTGGAAAAGACCTCTGAGATCATCGAGTCCAACCTATGACCGAACACCACCCTATGGACTACGCCATGGCACTGAGTGCCACATCCAGTCATTGCTTGAACACGTCCGGGGATGGTGACTCCACCACCTCCCTGGGCAGTCCATTCCAATGTCTAATCGCCCTTTTTGTGAAGAAATACCTCCTGATGTCCCATCTAAACCTCCCCTGGTGCAGCTTGAGGCCATTTCTTCTTGTCCTGCTGCTTGTTACCTGGGAGAAGAGACCAACTCCCACCTGCCCACAGCCTCCTTTCAGGGAGTTGTAGAGACTGAGAAGGTCTCCCATGACCCTCCTTTTCTGAGTGAGAAATACAAAAACACAAAGTTTTTCCACCAACTTTTGAGTCCCCTTGGGCTCGGCCAGGTGTTCTTGGAACTTTCTCAGGCCATTTCCCTTCCCTCACCTGTGAGACCTTCCCCTTTCCTCTGAGCTTAAAGCTAAAGCAACAATTGTTTAGATAAAGCAACTTATTGTCATAGCAAGTATCTTTTTTTTGTCTTTCTGTATGACAGTGGAAACTCTCAAGAAGCAAATATTTAAACTCATTTTGGATGTGTAGGCAAATGTCTTCCACATTTAACAACAACATCATCGACTGCAAATGACAACCCACTGTCAAAATTCAAGCCCTCTTACTTCAGCAGGTATTTATATTTTAGGATATTCCAGTTGAGTTTTCAATGCTACCTTGTTAATAGACTCCATATTAGTCTCCTTTTGACTGCATACTAACAAGCAATTATTGAAAGAATTTGTAATTTGCGTAGGCATAAATGAGCCATTTCAGGAGTTTTCTCTAGCATATAATTTTCTCAGATGGACAACTAGCACAAAGAAAAACCAAAGGGCTGAAGAAATATCCTTTATCTCAGGGAAAGTCACACTAGTAGCACTTTGATGGGGTGGTGCACCAGCACACGATATCAGTATTTCTATATTGGCACAGCAGCTACAGTGTGTGCAGCCATAGAGACTGAGAATTCAGGCTCCAGGGATCTCTGGTTATGCAATGGTATAATACAACATATGTGGGTGGGTGTAAGCCTGAACCCAAAACAGCATGGCTACTGAAGATATACTGCATCGCTGGTGCTCATACTGCTGTTCCCTCACGGGTTCAGTCACTATGTGTTGAATATTCTGCCTTAGACAAGGAAAAAAGATATTTTTTTTTTTTGCAAACGTATCTGAAATTATCTAAAGTACAAGCAAATAGCTTGACATTTTGTAGCTTCCTGCAGAGGATTCTCACACCCTACACTAAAAACAGTATTGTTTATTCAGAGCATCTCACAGTCTCCCTGTGTAGCCTGTTGATTTGTTGCTCTTGTGGATGGTAAGAAAGAGGGGCAGAATTCAGATTTCACTGACAACATTAGGTTTATTACTTTCTGGCTTATAAATGCCTACTAGTGGGATTTGTATTAGATTTTTCTGTATAGAGATGTAGTAGATGATTTTATTAACATACCAAAGTAAGTTTACAAATTTTTTGAAGACTGAATAAAGAAGAAGCTGAAATTGATAATAGGGGGTTTGTTACTGTGATGTGAAAAGATGGTTAATATAATGGATCCATAATAGCTCAAGAGAATGGAATGATGTCCTGCAGTCAGGTTTGTGACAGAGTAAGGAAACAAGTGTGTGTGATGCAGAAACCTTTTACTGCAGGTAGACATTCTAGAAAATATGCTGGCAATCCACACCAGAGTCCATGTTGACTGTCCAGAGAAACACAAGTTTTCATCATCAAAGTCAATATACAGCCGATAGTCACATTTTGTCCCAGTCATGTCAAAGTATAACTCAACTTAGTAACATTTCAGCAAACCTTTTCCCTTTACCTGCCAGCTGTTAATTATCAATACCTCTCCAATAACTAAACCACCACTCTTTCATTAAACTGGCTCTGCCAGACATGTTTATTCCATGTAGTCTTAGTCTACTGGCCAACATCAAGGCCTTTCTTATTTTATGAGCACTACAGAATGACATATTTTAATTACTCATTTGGCTGTAACAGTTTTGGCGTACAGGAAGCACTTCCTTAGATACCTGTAGAAATCTTAATTTTTTTAAAAAATAGACTTCAGTATGATTACAAGAAGATACCAGTTTGTTGTCTTGATTGCAATGTGGGCAAGGATGATTTAAAAACTCATTGACAGTTCATATTTAGAATAGGTGTTCAATATAATTTCCATAGTTTTGTTGTCACATAGGTTTGATTTTTTTTCCAATGGCTCCTTAAATGTAATTCATTAACTCTATTCTTTTTTATTTTCAACTGGTTGGCTAGCTGGATCAGCAGTGGAACATGGCTCTTCATCTGTGTGCCATTGGTACAAATCCTACTGAAGTCATGAAATACCTGGCTTAATGAATCATTAATCTAATTCAAACCATTTTATTTCTGTGCCATTTTATTTCTGGCGCAAATCCAAGTAAGATCAACAGACTAGCTAGCTCAGTGGTTACGTAATAGGAGACAGAGTACTAGGAAACCCCCAGCTTATTAATGTGAGTCTATAAAGGGTCAGAAAACTAAGTTTTGGACATTAAAATACAAAGATTTTCCAATGCAGCCATTGTTTTAAAGTAGTCTACTACAGGTTATTAGTTTCTGATACATTTAAATAGTCCATATTGATCTATAAATTCTGAAAAAGAATAGTATAAACATTTTATGTGTAGCCACTGATATAGCACAATATTCATCGCTCTGAAAGAAGGTACAAGAGGTGATTTCTCCAAACAGTTCCTTCCCTTGGGAAAGCATCTAGGGAATATACAGAACATACACAACATTTTAGCTACATAAGGTTAAACACCATCTGAATGTCCTGGTGGCCCATACCATAGTCCATCCTTGCCACCCCACCTTTGCCAGAGGCCTCCTGAGAACCCTCTCTGGGTTTACACTTCCAGTCATGAGTAGGAACCCAAATTCAGTGATTGTCTTAACTATTGTAGGAGGGAAATATGTTTTGTTTATGGTAAAAGTGCATTATTGCTTGCACTGCACCAACATTTGCAAGGTCGAATTTGTCTGTTAAGCAAATAGCCTAAGTCTGTGAGATTACAAAATGAGAGAAGCTGTTAACTCTTCCACTTGGTAACAAACTACATCACAACTTAGCTTAACAATTTGCAATATGGGCATTTGCAGCAATGACAGGCATGTGGAAAACTCTGAAGGAAAGGTGGCCTTGACAGACATCCATGCATACAGCTTCTTTCCCTCCCTGCCTCTTCCTACTCAGCTGCCTACTGTGGTGTAACTTTTGAAATGGCACCATATGCTCAAGGATACAACCTCACATATATTCTTAGGAAAAAAAAAAAAACATCTGGAAGATTGAAACTTACTGAGCTTATATGGTATGACTTTGGTGGCTCTGTGGTAGTGATAACCATTTGAGTTGCCTCCAACCTAAATACATTGCAGCCTTTTGGTTTTTTACTCTCATACCTGGTCAGACCAAAATAGCAAAAGCTCTTCCTTCCCCATCATCCTTCCCATGATAAAGGTTTTAGTAAAACCATATCTTCTCATTATTTAATGCACAAAGTAGGTCTACCCAGCTTGTCTTTTCTTTATCTGAGATTTCAGATGTTGCTGTTTTGCTTTTCAGTTGAAGAAATATTTCTGTTTCCATGAGTCTTTGGAAAAGAATGTCCTGTAGATCTGTGTCCAAGGCATGTTGGACCAGTGTGGTTTTTTGCATTATGCAAACATACTAATTTCTGTCCAGACTTTCCCTGACAGAATTCAAGAAGTACCAGGCAGGGAAGTTCCAAATTGAAGTATACCCTCAGCTTAGTAACAAGGGCTTGAATCCATCACTAAGGAGCAGTGGAGATCCTGCGATAAGGATTACCTTTGGATTCACCACAATTGCCGTTTTGTCCATCATTCATTGAGCTGGTCCTACAACAAGTCTTCTTTCTCGGTCCCGCCTTAAAGAAGATACACCAGATATTTTGCTGTAGTTATTCTAATCTGTTCTAGGCTTTTCTTGAAGAACAGCACTCTAAAAAAGGGTTTCCTTTCTTTCAGAATAATTTGGAAATGGGGCCAGCCAAAGGCAATCTTGATGCTCCCAGGTACCAGTTCTTCTGGGTCGCTGCAGCCCTTACTGCAGTGTACAACCCACTGAGAGCAGAACCAAGGTTTTGAGATAGATATGGAATATGTGTGACGTCTGACTACAAATGCAGTGCTGTTGATTCACTACTAGTATGGGTTCTTGACAAAAATAAATGAATCTTAGTGTGACTCCACATGAGTGGTGTTGACACATTCAATTGTCTGTGCTTCGTTTGCTGCAAAACAGTAGCTATTTTAGAAAAGCAGTTGATGAGTTTAGCATACACAAAGAGTAGACAGATTTAAAAGACATCTTACTGGAACATTCTATTTTTGAGATTTCACTTTGACAAAACTGCCTCATTAAGGACTTGGATATGAAAAGCAGGAAAATGCTTTTGTATCTCATGTAAACTAAATTCAGAATTCTGATGAGCTGAATCAATTCTTTCCATACATTATTTTCCTTTATCTGTATTTCCCCTTGTTTCCTTTTAAGAGATGATATAAAACT